AAATGACTCTGAGTACCGTTTCAGTTTTTCCCATCTGTATTTCCTTGGCATGTACTGCACCTTCCAGGGCTTCAAGAAATCAGACCATAGGTACCTTCCGCTTAATTAAGGCTCAGCTGTCCAGTTTTCCCACACAGTCACTCTGGTGAGCACATGCGTGGCTGAGCGTTTTCTCCTGACACTTAGCTATCACTTTCACCACTGCTACATCACAAGAAGCTCAACTAGTCCCCTTCTCTCCTGGCTTGCAGGGACTTCTTATGCTTTCAGTGGTAGCCTTTAAGATCATGGCTAGGTGTGGCTTGGCCAGAGCCCCCTGTGGCTTACAGGGTGGGATGCTCCTGATGGCGAGCAGAAACCTGGGACACAATGGGTGGAATGCCCATGGGTGGAGAGCCTGTGGGGGCTGAGCTCACGGTGACACAAGCTTTTCCTGTCTGTAAGTATTTCTGCCTTCTGAGTGAGGTTTGCACGCAAGATCGTGAGTTTCTCTTGCAATAGCTGAGCTTCATGACCCAGTTTGATACCCTAGAGCAATGTGCAACTTTTGGAAGCCCTCAATGCACAGTATCATTAAGGAGAGATATCTTTGTGCATTCTAGAGATGGCCTGCACATTCACTGGCTGGTGGAGGGTTTGTTTGTTGTTGTTTTTCTTAAGAAAGGAACCTTTCTGTTCATTGAAAAGTTTTTAATAATTTCTCAGTTTAAGGACTGAGAAATTATAATTAGTTACACAATTAGTTGACAACCAAATAATGGCATATGCAAATGCTTCAAAATCCTTAAAGTGAAACATAAAGGATTTGTTAACTCTTTTTAATTAGTTTCCTTAGTAAAATATAAGTCTGGGAACATCTTCCAGAGCAGTTACATGACTAAAGCTCAGTAAGCTGCATGTTTGGTTTTGGTTGCACAACCTCATGTGCCATTCCCAAAACAGAGAAACCTGAAATCTACTTAAGACAGTATTATTCTTTCTGAAGAGCTGATTTGAGGGATGAGCTGAAGGCTCTACACAGCCTTCATTCTGTCCCTTCTCCTACTTTCTCTTGTCAAAGCAGTCCTTTGTCAGTTGCCCAGTCCCATCAGTGAACCTGTCAAGCAGAAGTTCAGCTGTCTTGGCCAAAGCCTCACTGATATTTCATATAGAAAGAGTTTGTAAGAGAAGTCCTCAAGAAACTGATATTGAGCTCTATAAATAAAAATATAAAACAGATGGCTCTCGTTTCAAATGGTTAAGTGGTTTTTAACTAGTTCAGTAACTAATGTTCTCATATACCTACAAAAACATTACAATTTTATCTTTGCAAAGATCAAAAGAACAACTTTGAAGGACTTGCCAGGCACACAGAGCTATGTGTTTTAATAGATGACAGACGTAATGTATCCTTACAGTAATGGGACTGACTTGCTGATTTCAAATTTTCCCCTGTATTCCTGCAGTGAATAATGCCTAATGACTGCTCTGATTAGTTTTTGTTTTGTTTGTTTGTTTTTATAAATTTTATTACTACTACTGTGGACCTAGTGTTGCCCCAAACACAGTACAGATACTAAGAGAAGTCTGCAAGTCTCTAAGAGAGAGCCTGGTAAGGAAGTATTTCTTAAGAGGAAAGAGTAAGAAGCCTCTGGAGCTGCCCAGGTGCTCCACAAGTGTCTATGTCAGTGTCCACTGCTGTTTAAATCAGTCTGCTTACTCATGAGTGTCTATTTTAATTTCCAGAAAAATACAGGGAGAAGACAAACCATAGCATACCTGACAAGATTTGCACAAGCGGGCTCTGCGCTGCAATGTGGTCTCTCGGACAGATTGTACGTATGATGTCTATGATGACTGAACCCATGGGAACCACAATGCTGCCTAGCAGCAGGTGGAAATGTTGTGTGCCATCTGCTTCAAGCTCCAAAAACTAGCCTCAGTTGTACAATTTATTCCGAAAACGGTTTTCCAGTTGTACAATTTATTCTCACAAGCTGGAATAAACCTTTCAAGGTCCACACTGTTTTAGAGTTACAGCTGAGTTAAGGCTTGCTCCTATGCAAGTTGCTGACTTTGTTGAGTTTGCCTGCACAACAGCTGCTTCTCCTTTCCACAGACACCGAACACTGTTTTACAGTCTGTCTCTCTTCACTGCCTTGCTGCTCCGCTGTGTAAGTCCAACCCAATGCTAACGGAGGGGAATGCTGCTGTGTGTGCCGTGACTCTTGGCCCCTTTTACCTTACTAAAACTTGGCTTCCCAGGATATGGGCTTCTGTTTTGTTTCCCTGGTTTGTGTGTTACATAAATGGTTGTTTTTAGGAAGTCTAACCTTTTACTTAGCTTTGTTGAAAAGCATGTTTTTGGCAGTGGAGAGGGAAATATAAGCACAGTTAGGAAATCTCTGGTTCCAGTAATGATACCCTTCCTCTGCATTCCCCATCAAAATAGGCTGGAGCTGAGTTTCTAGGAGCCCTGTGTATGAAGCTGAATGTCAATGTCACCACTAAAAATTGTGAAAAAAAATCTGTGGCAGGGTTTTTGCCTTGAATTTCATCTTACCCATTAGACCTTAATGTATCTCCCACAACAGAGAAGGAAAGAATGTCAGCTTTCTTTTGGTAGGTAGATGTATGGTATGCTAGACATCAGTGACATCAGCAACATCAGTGACATTTGTAATGTGCTTTAAGAATTAGACAACACAGTCCTACTGCATTGACAATCAAGAGAGAGACTTGGGCAAAATTTAGAATCCTGCTGCCCCTTTAGACATGTGAGTGTTTAGCATTTAGTTCTTGGGTGTTAAATATTCAACTGATGCTGACATATGGAGGCCCTAGGGTTTGGATACCACAATTCCTGTTGGACCTCTGTGTCTGCTTCTGACTATGCTCAGCGTGTCTCAGCACAGCTAGTACCGACCATTTCTGACAGTGTCCTGTTGTTAAGCTCTTGCTCATATCTTCTCTGCCCACCTTTTTTTTGCACAGCTTAATCCAGTTCCTAATCACCTGGCTCCTGCAGGAAGCTTGTCCAGAAGAAGCACATAATTTTGGTTTGTATCTCAGCTGTAGAAACATTACAGAGGTTTAGGGAGCCCTTGGGTTAAAAAAAAATTCCCTCTGCTAGGAAACTGGAGAAGTCATGGTGTATCTGCCCCGAAATTCTGTATGTGTCCTGGTTATTGTAGGAAAAGGAGCAACGGTGACATCTTGTCTTGGTGATTTCCCTCTGCCACGGCCTGTTGGACATCAGGTTATGGCTCTCTGGAGCCAGGCAAAGCCAGTGCTCTGTATGCAGGAGCAGTCTCATCCTGCTGCCCACCACATGTGCAGGGCAGATTAGATGCAGGGGACTGTAGGGACCCAGCTCTCAGCTGCTTTCTCACTGGTGGGGACGGGGATCTAGGTGATCTTGTTGCCTCTTGTCTGCCCCATCTTCTGGCTTTCTGCTCTGGAGGAGACAGAATAGAACAAGGAGGGTGCAAGCCCTGCTTCAGACAGATGGCCCCGCAGCCCTCGCTGTCTGATTTCCCCTCTAAAATGCACCAGGGGTTCCTGTGATTGCAGAGTAAATACACTGCTAAAGGCATGGCTTTATCTACAAAGTTGTTTTCTTGCACATCAGAAGTTATAGGGAAAAGCAAGTGTTGGAGGGGAAGGAAAACCTCTGGCTGAACTCTGGAGCAGGAAGTGCAAGACTTTAAGGACAAAACAGGACAGAGACAGCTCTGAGGCACGGTAGTGAGCCTCTCATTTCCCCAGGCCTTCAGGACAGCTGGGCTGAGCCTCTTGCTCCGCCTTCGAATTCCAAAGGTTTGTGCAGCCGGGTGTAGCCTGGTTGCACCAGGCCAGGAGCTCCCCCATCCCTGCCTCCCCTGCTGGAGGTGTCCTTCACCTCCCATGGAGGTTTTGATCCTCCTTAGACGGCAAGAATCTAATCTGAGTAAGGCTGTCCTTGGGAAGACAAAGGAAGATCTATTAGCCATCGCCCATTTCTTTATTTATTTTGGGATATTTCCTGGTTTCAGCGTTGTACAATGCTTACCAAAGACGAGCAGCCAAAGTAAACCATACGAATGAAAAATTGCAAATGAAAGAGCCAGCCGCACGGCACAGCTGCTCCCTTGCCTCCGAGTGCTTCAGTCCTTTCAGATTAGGTGCTCATTTGGTGTTCTCCTGCAGATAGGCTTATAGGGAATCACCCGGGGACAAAACCTGCCTCTATACTCAGCCACCGGCAGAAAGCTGAGGCAGGTCTGGAAAGACTCTCTAACAAGAGGAGGGATTAATGTGCCTGCTTGTTAACTTTGGCAGAGTGTGTAGTCGTCGTCGTGCCAGCAGCTAGGGAGAGCAATTGGAGAGGGATTATTTTATGATCGGTGGCGTTCCTGGGGGATGGGGGGGACCATGGGGCTGGGGGCCTCCCTGCAAGGAGCAAAAAGCAGAGCAGAGCACACAGTGGTGCCTTCACGGACGGCAGACTGTTTCGACACGAGGTGCCAAAACAGATGGAAATGTTCCCTTGTCCCTTAATCCAGTTGCAGACCTGACTCACCCAGACTGAGTTACTGGTATCAGTGTTGTCCTGTTACTTGATGAGAAGCTATGAGCTCACAGGTTTCTTGTCCAGCAAACCAGCTTGTGAGCTCCTTGGTAAGTTCCCTCCTGAAAAGGAAAGGGCTGCCCAGCCTGGCTACAGGATTTCTCCACCTGCAGAAACAGAGAACAAGCCAAACTCATTCACAGGCTGTGTTTCGTCATGACAAATGTGAGAAATACCTATTTTACAGAAAAGTTTAGACCTCTGAACAGTAGGGGAGAAGAGCCCAGCCAGCCTTCACTTTATCCCTCCCTTCTCCCATTACTCATTTCATTTTTGTTAGTGACTCTTGAAAGATTCTATTCAGCTGGAAGGCTTTGCAAATATCAGAGAGGACACTGTCAGATGGAAGCATGGAGGCACCAGACAGATGACCAAGAAAGATTCCTCTCAACAGTGGGTTGTGCATCTCAGTACGCTTTGTTTGAGCTTTTGGTCCCAGGTGCTAGCCGGGAACAAAGAGTTGAAGGATTCAAACCCAGAGAAATAAAGTACTCTGAAGACTGATTTAAAGGGAAATTTGTTGAAACTATTAATCATGGAACATACAGGAAATTAATTTCAAATGATGTCATAAAAATAGCACATGAAAGAAGTACAAATGTAACATAATTTCTATAAATAGAAAAGAATATTTATGCTGACACTTGTGTAAGTTATAAGCTGAAAACAAACCAGGTGGCCAGTCTGTTGGGTAAAAGTTCTTAAATACTGGATAATAAGACCCAAAGAAACAAAGATCTTCTTGTGTTCACAGGTGCAAACTTCATGGTGTTAAGTGTTGAAGGAATATGACCTGAACTGATCAAAGGTAAGACAGTGCATCTAATTTGTTGCTCTTTCTCATAGCAGAGCAGATGTAAGGTAGACAAATTCTATTACTCTATGGTTATCACTGAACCAACTTATTCTTGTCCTATAGTTGCATCTTGGGAGATGGAAGTTGGTTGTTTTTACTGCTTTTTTACCTATATTTTCTTTGATTCCTCTTCCTTTGTCAACTTTTCTGTCTAAAAGCTGTGAACTGCAGAGCAAACCACTTGAAAGCATGAGTTACCATGCATCTTACACTTATTAGAGAGCTACAAAAGTCTTTTTAGTGTTACTACAACCCCCTGTTTCAGTCGTCGTGTAAGTTTCCTGCTTGGTTTCAAGTGAAGAGTAGGATATTTTTTTGTTTTCTGTTGCCCTGCACTTGTAATCACCTATTGCACCAGGGGTTTGGTCTCTACTGGAGTTCTTAGGTCCTGCTAAAAGGCCTACAGCATCAACAATCTTTCTGGACCATCACCGTTGGAGTAATGGGAGATTGCTAGAAAAGGACTGTTCCCTCTCAAGTCCGTGCCTTGCTGCCCAGTCTGTGGTCTCTTTCCTCAACCGTACACCATGACCAGCCAGAAACCGCTGGGGTGAGACAAAACCTGAAGGAAGCAAAGCAAAGCATTTCCCAGCAAAGCTGCTGACTGAATCCACCGCTGTGGATTCAGCGTGGGACAGCGTGCTCAGCTGCAGTGGGGTTTGCCACAGCCATCTCCTGACCATCCTGGCCACGACCGCATTGCCACAGCACACCCCTGCTCTTCGTGGCACATCCGGGTAACTCACCTTGGAAGTCAGAGAGGAATTGAACTCCAAGTTGCAAAGAGTAGAAAACACCTTGGTTTTGAGGTTGATCCCCTGGTATGGTGTGTTTCTTTCTGTAGATACTGTGCTAAAGACAAAAAGCCATCTCACAGCACGGGCACAAATTACGTGGCCTTTTCTGAATCTGTCATTTCTAAGCTGGTACTGTTAAGAAAACCTACAGAAGAGCAAGGAATGCAATCTGAGGATAATTTAGGAGGAATGATTAAAATAGCTGAGTGTGTGCTTGAAAATCAGCTTGGGATGTCTGTTTCTAATCATGTTCAAAATCAGAAAGTTGGAGAATGGTCAGATATTGGAAATATCTTATTATTTGAAGATGGTTTGGTGGCCTATCAGGGACCACATGCACTTTTCAAATACTTACTGACATCTTTCTATAATTAGGCTTTTCATTTTTAGTAAAAATAATGTTTTCATGGGTGTTTACAACTCTTATAGTCAAAGTTTGTTTAAAAAAATTATACAATTGCAGAAAAAGACAATAGAAATAATCTCTGCAGGAAACTCACAAAACATGTAGTTTTTCCAGTGAAAAAAATCTAGGAAATAGTGTCCAAGATTTTTTTCCTTTTCTTAAAAAATATGGGGCCCTGATAGGCTCTAAATCCAGAAGAGTACCTACACTGAAGAAAGAACTTCTGAGATCTTGAATAACTGGAAAAAAAGATTTGAAATTTACTAGTTTTCTTTTTCTGAAATCCATTATGATGTCTGAAATATTTCATGACATCAGATACAGAGGGAGGCAGTAGCTAAATGCAAAGCCTGAACTACCTGTGCTAAATACATCCTGGGATTGTCTTTTTTGGAATGAATACAAAATCTTGATGTTTTTATGGTACATGATAATGATCTGCTTCATTTCCTGCTCAGATTCTTGCCCAACTGTTAAACACAATTTATTTTTATTTTTTTATAACAAGCAGTTAAATATGTATCTCTACATCCCAGCAAAGTGTTTTCCACCTCCGTACAGGAAACAAACTCTAGCTGTTTCTGCAATGACTTGATCCCATTCCCAGGAATGTTTCCCTTCCCTTCCCTTCCCTTTAAAAAAAAAAAAAAAAAAGGTAAAAAAAAACCAAGACCAAAAACACCGGAAAATGAAAGCACTTTTTCCAGCATATTAGCACTAGATAAACATAAGCATGAGACATATCCATGCATTCCTCTGAATGAGGACAGACAAAGTTTGCTGAGCCTTTCCCACACTGAAATGCACTGAAATGACACATATATGTCCCTTTGCCCTCCTCCTTTGAAGGAGCTTTTTCTTGGAGCTGAGCAAAACTTTTTTCCTCCTGATGGGAAATTCCAGTGCCAGGATGCTAAACCCTGACTTCCTCCCAACAGCCTGCCAGGGATGGCTTGCACCTGGTGGGCTGTGACAAGGTATTTTCTCTCCTGGTGAGCTGAAATGAAGCAGAAGCTGTCCGAACAGCGAGCGTAAGAGAATCCCTGTGAAGCCTGTGCCTTGTAGACTACTCGAGGACTCCAACCCTGGGGTACCCACAGCAGCCCCCACGGCCGGGGATGCACTGAGGGGACAGCGCTGTCTCAGCATAGGCAGGTTGGATGCCTGCTGGCAGCCCAGAGCCACAGGTGTTGTCTGTCAGAAATAAATTTTTCACTCCACCTTAAGTGCAAAGGAACTTCATTGTCCAGCTTTGCCTTGCATGTAGGTTGCTTTCTGTTGATGCAGTTTCCTTGGGAGTCAAGAAATCATCCGGAATATGTTGGCAGAAATGATGTGTTTTCTCTTGTTGAGTCACGCTGAGAAAACTGTTCTAGACAAATGAAACTTTCCATATTATTAGGATAAGCTTTGATGTCTTAGCCTGCAAACTTCCCTCCTAGCTGCTCTTTGGTTAAGGCAGAAAATGCATGTCATGTTTTTCTGACAATACTTTCAGAAAGGATACGATAAAAATAAATCAACAACTGCTTCCTTGGCAGAGGCAGTCCCATAGGCTGGCTGTTGAATGACTAACCAGTTACACAGACTTATCTTACTCTGCCACAACTGTGTTACCTAGAAGAAAGGATTGCCCAGAAGAAAAACAAAGGAAATCAGCTCCTTTAAGTTTAAACTTTCAGTCTGAAGACCTAACCAGGGGATTGAGCAACTGGCAGGGTAGGCCTGATATGGAACATGACAAAGTTAAAATCGTTTATGTTTCATTATCATCTTCCTTTTTATTTTAGTTTGAAAAGGAATACCCGAAGCCCTGCAAGTCGTATTAAAGCACAGGCACTGCCAGTGCATGTCAAGGCTCTGCTTCCAGGACCGTGAAAGGATGCCAAGCCATTCTGCTTTCAATTACGTGAGTATTATACCTCCTGCTCCAAAGACTGGAGTCACAGATTTGACTTTTGGCTTTTCCTTGGCATCCGTTTCCAGTGAGGATTAGGGTAAGAGCACCCCAGGTTCAGTCTGCCTGGCACCGCTGCAGCCAAGCTGACACACTGACACATCCTGGTTACCAGGGGAAAGTACCGGGAAGCAATGTTGTGCTATTTACAAAGATCTGGAATGCAGCTCTGCTCATACCACAGGCTGGTCAATGGATTCGTGCTCTTCCCTTTTCTACTGCTTCTGCTTTCTCTTTGAGGTGGGGTGTTGCCTGGGTTGGGCTCCTTCTGCACTGCTCACTTGTCCTTTGTCAGCAGAAAAGCAACAAGCAGCTCTGAGTGTAGACGCTGACATTGAGGAGGAAATAGAGGAAGAGAGGGGAGAGGCTGCAGGATCCTTTTGTATGAGTCTGGGGAGGTGATGCTTAAAGGGTGCAACATGCCCAGATACTGCAGAAGATGGAGCAGTCTGTACCCTCTAGCTGGAGGAGCTCTAGGAGAGAGGGCTGCAGAAATCTGGAAACTGGAAAGTCATGTTTCCTGAGTAACACAACATATGCATAAAGAGGAGGCAGTGGGGATATAACAGTGAAATAATCCTTGTAACTCTGATGGTAGATGGACTGAGCACTAGTGTTGCCACTTGGTTTGTGTTTTTTGATCAACAAGTCCATCCCTGCGTGGTTTTGTCCCATATATACACACACACACAGACAAATATATACATGTTTGTTTCTACATTTATTTTGGTCAACACTCATCTAATATAGCCTTCCCTCACTGGTTGCTGCCCTGTCTCAAACCAGCAGTTTACTAGTGGAAAAGGGTTGTGGCAAAGCAGCAGTTTGCTGACGGAGAAGGGTTGTGACAAGAGCCTGTCCCTCTACCACCAGAGCCAATGCAGGGACCTGTCACTGAGCAGTGGAAACCTGCTGAACAGGTTGTAGCTGGGGATCAGGGAAGAGCTGGCTGAGAGAAACATCTGCTGCTTTTGCTGCTATTGGATAAACAGAAACATTTAGAGAAAGACAGCTTCAAAAATGATGACCACATCTCCATCTTAGCCCTATCCACCTGGTGGCAAAGGCTTGTGTGGTGTCTCTACTTGGAAAATGTGCAGTTACAAAAACTCAGGCTTGTTGCAGATCTGTGCACTTCTGTTGGGGAAAAGTAATGTAGTTGAAGGCATGTGATTTTTTTTAAACACTAAAAGAGGAAGGTTAATCATAGCTTAAACTTGGAGGAGGAGAAAAAGCACCCACAAGGTACAACTTTGTTCAATGCTGAACATGCAGTTACTCTGGAGAAAAAGCAGATGAAGGGTATTCTTACCTTAAAAGACAACACTTTTCTCCTACTTTAGACTCTTTCATTTAAAAAGAAGGTTTTTTTGAGTCATGCTGCAACTCAATGTGGAAACTGATGTTCTGGGAGGCAGGTGATTGGTACCTTGCTTCTTTGTGGGGGGCAGTTTTGTGGAGGGCACTTCTGGCCACCTTGAGCATCTTTGGGCCTTCCTGACTATGGATAACATGATAAATCCTGATAAATTGACCTGGAATGAGAGAGAGAGACAGACAGACAGATAGACAGAAGTTGTGTTGCTTTTAGATTCCTTTACTACTAAGGGAAACGAGCAGAAGGCCAGCAGCGATTTCTTGGCTTTTTCAGCAGCTTCATGAAATTAACGGCTTGGTTTGTGAGTTGTGACATGGTCACCCCCATCTTCTCTTTATGAGAGAAACCTGGCCCAGTGTGCAGCCATGATGAAAGCTGGCTAAGCCTGGATGTTAGGAGAAAGTTGTTACTTCTGAAAAAACAGGCACTTACCTCAAGTCTCCAGGAATGCGTGGTGAAGAAGCTGTAACAGATAGAAGAGCGTGTCCATTTCACATTCAGTGATGTACATGGCCTCATCGATGGTCTCCTTCTCTAAAACTCTTCACTTCACAAATTGAACTGAAATGATTTAATTTTATCAAGGAGTTGCAATTTTGATGACAAAAATATATAGTCTAATTGAACCCTGAATTAACATTGCGAAAACTGAAAGTCTTCTTGTTGAAAAATAAGAACCATTTCAGCTGAGAGGTGCTAGAGGGAAGAGGTAGCTTTGGGGAAGTTGATGACATCCCTTCACTTAAAACCATTTCCCTTCTCGGCTGTGCCTCACAGCTGCTTTGCCTCTGTTTTACAGTGTTGTTATGCTTATCAGCTATCCTCTGTTTTTTTGAAAAGTGATGAGTTCTTTACCTAATGTGCAACGCTAGGCACACTTGGGCTCTCCACTGTTGAGCACACAGGTGCTGCTGTGGGCCCTCTGACACATGGTAGGACTCAGTCTGTCTGTCTGCTCTCAGGCAGGTACTACTTGGTGCAAGAGGGCAGCAGATCATGACAGTTTCTGATAACAGGAAAAAAAGTGAAAACTGCCATAGGGATGTTTGGTGTTTGAATTTAATTGACTTCCCTTTCAGAGCTGGTAGGAAGATTCCCTCCCCCTTTATGCAAACAGCATATTTGGCTGTAGAGAAACATACCAATTGTATGTTTCTATTCATCAAACCTCCTCTTTCAAAATTGCCTGTAATATTTGCAGAGGGATGCCTTCTTCAAATTGTGTCTTGTGTTTTAGACAGAATATCATTCCCATTCTTATGCTTTTTCTATTTGTTGACAACATATAGCTGCAGTGTCTTAGGAAATGAAATATGCTGAGTGTTTCTCTAGTACCCGCCTTGACTAAACAATATGTCTCCAACACTTGTATCAATATGATATATGTATCACTCTATATATTGATAACATTTTACAGAACTTACACAATAATAACTTTGTTATGCTGAGATGTTTTTTGCTCAGCACAGTAAATAACCTGTCAGTGTCTACCAAACAACAAGTATTGAAACTAGAGATACAGAGAGGTGCATGCAGTTCTGCCTAGGAACTATTTCTGCACTTAATACTGGAGGAAGTGATTGTGAAAGAATGACTTGTGCAAAATTGTTGCATCAGCCTTTCCAGCAATAGGAGTTGATTGACAAAAGGAGAGAGACTGACACTGAATTTCAGCTTGCAAAGAAGAGAGCGCAACCACAATCTGTGCTCATTTTTGTGTCCGCCGTCAGCAGCTGCGATAGAATTTGTTGAAATGGGAGTTTGAAGGGCACACCTTGTGTGCCGGGCAATCCTGAACTCTTCAGAAGCCCTGATTTCCTTAGGGGAACCTCCACTAAAGAGAAACCATGCAAACTGGTATGCTTCACTGAGTAGTTAAAGGACGCTGGGAAAATGTGAACGTAAAGTTTTGTTTGAGAATAGGCTGAAATATTTTGTCACTTCAGGACTGTCACCTCATCAGACCTGCCAAAAATTTCCAGCTTTTTTTGTGTTTACAGGTATGAGGTGACCATTCAGATGCCAGAGCGCATGATCAGCATACGAGGAGAATGAAGTACAGCATGCAGTACACAAGGTAAGTACTTAACCTCTGTTTATTCAAGGTTTCTGGGTACTGCTGGTTTGCAGCCCTGGAACTGTTTACAGTTAAAACTTGTGAGTGTCACAATGGTGACCTGTTCTTTGGCCCCTTTGGCATGAAACACAGTCCTTCTTTACTGTAAAATCAGTATTGTTCTAATTACATCCAGTGTCTATAGGGTGGCAGTAACATCCAATTCACATCTATTAATGTGTTGTTATTAAGGTAGTGTTTTACAGAACAGAGTGATAGATTTGCTTCATTGCGTGTCAGCTTATTCTGCCTTTCCAGTAAAGAATGTAAATTGTTTACACAGTGTACAAAAGGGTGTGGCAGTAGCCTATGCAGCTCTGCTTTTAGAAGCCCTTAGGCTGGTGAGGCTGAGTGCATGGAACACCCAGATCTCTTCCAGGAAAGTTCGTGGTGTTGTAGGCTGCAGCCCATTTAAACGGCTGGGAGGAGGGACATACTGTCTTCAGGCTTCTGCTTCCAGCTAGCCATTCAAAATGGGCAGGTTGACACTGCAAAAACTGTGAGCATTTGAAACCACAGAATCACTTTGATTTAAAAAGACCCTTAAGATCATTGAGTCCAACCATTAACCAAACACTGCTAAGTCCACCAGTAAACCATGTTCGTAAACACCACGTCTACATGTCTTTAAAATACCTCTGGGATGATGACTCCACCACTTCCCTGGGCAGCCTGTGCCAGTGCTTGACCACACTTTCTATGAAGAAATCTTTTCTAATATTCAATATAAACCTCCCTGGTGCAGCTTGAGGCCATTTCCTCTTGTCCTGTGACTTTTTACTTTGGAGAAGAGACAGACCCCTACTTGACTACTGTCTTATTTCAGGTAGTTGCAGAGAGTAATAAGATCCTGACTAAGCCTCCTTTTCTCCAGGCTAAACAACCCCAGCTTCCTCATCTGGTCCTCATAAAACTTACTTTCTAGACCCTTCAGCAGCCTCACTGCCCTTCTCTGGTAATGCTCCAGCACCTCAATGTCTTTCTTGAAGAGAGGGCCCAAAACTTAACAGGATTCAAGGTGCAGCTTCACCAGTGCCGAGTACAGGGGAACTATCACTGCCTTGGTCCTGCTGGCCACTCTTTCTGATACAGACCAGGATGCCACTGGCCTTCTTGTTCACCCGGGCACACTGCTGGCTCATGTTAAGATGGCTGGCAACCATCTTAACCAAGCACCTCTGGATGCTTTTCTGTTGGGCAGCTTTCCAGGCACTCTTCCCCCAGACTCCAGTGCTGCATGGAGTTCTTGTGACCCAACCACAGCACGTGGTAGTACACTTTGTTGAGCCTCATACCATTGGCCTCAGCCCATGGATCTATGCAATCCAGATCGCTCTGTAGCTCTTCCTTACCATCCAACAGATCAACACTCCCACCCAACTTAGTGTTGTCTCCAAACTGACTGAGTGTGCTCTCGATCCTCTTGTCCGATTCATTGATGATCTAACCATCTTCCCCTGTTTAGGGCTGAAACATCCAGCTGTAGCTTCTTTGCTGACAGAGATGGCAGAGGCAAGAGCCATAGCCAACATTCATATGAAAAAGCAGGACACTAAGAATCATCCTTTATGACTGTTGAGGCGTGATGTCTGTACTCCAGAGATGAGCAGCACACCAAGTTTGTTTGCTTCACACTCTTAGCTGAAGTAAGAGAGGAAAACTGACATCACGGATAGTTCTTGCAAATAAAATAATTAATCTGAGATTACTAATCTCAGGACTAGTTGCACAGGATTTCAAGAGTTTTCTGTTACAGTTCAAAACTAAAATTTGACATTATCTTCTCTCCTTTCTGTTTCCTACAGCAAAATGCCCAAAGAAGCAAAACACAGATCAGGAGCTACACACAGCTGGCAAGCGTGGGCCATCTACATACTCTTAGCTGCAAACCTCTCTGAACAGCAAGCGCTGAAGCAGGTTTGTCCTTCATGCGATGATGCTCAGCTTTGCAACTGCTCTGCCATGGGCTTGGACTTCATTCCCCCAGGGCTCACCGCCAAACTCACGAAGTTAAACCTGGCCCACAACAGGATAAAGCACATCCGATCCCAGGACCTGCAGCAGGCTGTGAACCTGAGAGCCCTGCTGCTGCAGTCCAACAAAATCAGCTCCATAGATGAAGACTCGTTTCAGTCCCTGGCAAAACTGGAGCTCTTGGACTTATCAAATAACAGCTTGACTCACTTGTCCCCTGGGTGGTTTGAGCACCTTTTTTCACTTCAGCACCTCCACCTTCAAGGCAATTTTTACAGAGACCTGGGAGAAAGCTCTCCCTTTTCTGGTCTGAGGAACCTGAGCTCTCTGCGCCTGGGCAACCCACGGTTCTCTGTGATAAGGCAAGGGAACTTTGAAGGCATTGAGTTTGTCAACCAGCTGTGGATTGATGGTGGTAATCTCAGTCAGTATGAGCAGGGAAGTTTGAAATTGATTAAGCAGATAAATCACATGATCATAAACCTAAGAAATAGTGATGTATTCTCAGAAATTGTTAGGGATCTTCTGCACTCTGTTACTTGGCTAGAAGTAAGAGAAATCAAATTAGCAGTTGAAACAAAAAGCTTGGTGCAGAACTCTACACGTCCTTTTAGGATGAAAAAACTTACGTGTAAAGATGCTTTCTTCACAGATCAGTCTGTTAGCCGAATATTGGTATTATTGAAGGAAATCACCTCTTTACGAGAGTTAGAGGCAATTGATTGTGTGCTTGAGGGGAAGGGTCTATGGGACACTAAAGAAATAACAAGGAGCGGGCAAAGTTTTGTTGAAACAGTATCAATAATAAATTTAATGATTCAGAATTTTTATCTGTTTTTTGACCTGGAAGGTATGGAGTCACAAATAAACAAACTGAAAAGGCTCACTATTGAAAGCTCTAAAGTTTTCATGGTACCATGCAAGCTTGCAAGACATTTTTCATCCCTTGTGTATCTAGACTTTAATGATAATTTGCTTGTAAATAATCGTTTAGATGAGACTATCTGTGAAGGTGCCTGGTCTTCACTGCAAACTTTAAATCTAAGTCAAAATTCTTTAAGATCTCTGAAACAGACTGCAACATACATATCTCGTCTACCCAAACTGAATAATCTTGACATTAGCCAAAATAATTTTGGTGAGATTCCAGATGCATGTGACTGGCCAAAAAACCTGACACTATTTAAACCTCTCCAGCACTCAAATTCCTCAAAGTAACAGCCTGCATTCCCCAAACGCTGGAAGTTTTGGATATTAGTGCTAACAACCTGAAGGAGTTTGGACTGCAGCTCCCACATCTGAAAGAGCTGTACCTCACAAAAAACCAGCTGATGACCCTGCCTGGTGCTGCCCCCATTCCAAACGTAGCGGTCATGTCAGTCAGGAGAAACAAGCTCAACAGCTTCTCCAAGGAAGAGTTTGAGTCCTTCAAGAGAATGGAGCTACTGGATGCCAGCGACAACAACTTCATCTGCTCCTGTGAATTCCTCTCCTTCATCCACCACGAGGCTGGGATATCCCAGGTGCTGGTGGGGTGGCCGGACAAGTACGTCTGTGACTCTCCGCTGGCGGTGAGAGGGGCCCAGGTTGGAGCAGTGCACCTCTCCGTGATGGAGTGCCACAGGTCCCTGGTGGTGTCATTGATCTGCATCCTGGTGTTCCTGGTCATCCTCATCCTTGTGGCTGTTGGCTACAAGTACCACGTGGTGTGGTACCTGAGGATGACCTGGGCGTGGCTGCAAGCCAAGCGCAAGCCCAAGCGAGCCCCGCCAAAGGACATCTGCTATGATGCTTTTGTCTCCTACAGTGAGAACGACTCCAACTGGGTGGAAAACATAATGGTGCGGGAGCTGGAGCAGGCCTGCCCTCCCTTTCGGCTCTGCCTCCATAAGCGGGACTTTGTGCCTGGCAAGTGGATTGTGGACAACATCATTGACTCCATTGAGAAGAGCCACAAAACGCTCTTTGTGCTGTCCGAGCACTTTGTGCAGAGCGAGTGGTGCAAATACGAGCTGGATTTCTCGCATTTCCGCCTCTTTGACGAGAACAACGATGCGGCGATTCTTGTCCTCCTGGAGCCCATCCAGAGCAAAACAATTCCCAAGAGGTTCTGCAAGCTGCGGAAGATCATGAACACAAAGACCTACCTGGAGTGGCCTCTTGGTGAAGAGCAGCAGCAGATGTTTTGGTTTAATTTGAAAATGGCTCTAAAATCCTAGACCGATAGAATATATAGTAAATATACTTTGGAATTTCTTCCCTTGCTCTTTTATCTCATCAGTTATCTGCATCTCAAGAACAGAGAGTTGAGCCACTGCAAATTCTAACACTTACTGTGAGATTATTTTCTTTTTGTAGCCATGGTTCTGAATTGTTTTACTGGTTTGTGCTGGACTAGAGTTAATCTTCTTCATGGTTCCTTCTATGGTGCTGTGGTTTGTATTTGTCACCAAAACAGCCTTCACAGCACAGGGGCATTTTAGTTATTGCTCAACAGTGCTTGTACAGCATCAAAGTCTTTTCTGTTTCTCATGCTGTGTCGCCAGCAAGTAGGCTGGGGGTGCATCATAATTTGGGAAGGGACACAGCTGGGACAGCTGATCCCAGCTGACCAAAGGGATGTCCCACACTATAATGTCAAACCCCATGACTTCATGCTTAGCAATAAAAGTTGTGGGGAAGAAAGAATAAGGGAGGGTATTTGGAATTATTGTGTTTGCCTTCCCAAGTAACTGTTCTGTGTGATGGAGTCCTGCTTTCATGGCAATGGCTAAAGATTTCCCTGCTGATAGGAAGTAGCAAATTAATTCCTTGTTCTGCTTTGCTTGTGAGAGAGCTTGTGTGAGAACAACTTTTGCTTTACCTACTGAACTGTCTTCATCTCAACCCATGAGTTGTCTCACTTTTACCCTTCAGATTGTCTTCCCTGTTCCACTGTAGGGAGAATGAGTGAGTGGGCTGTGTGGTGCTGAGCTGCCTTCTTGAGAAGATTACTGGGACAAGGGCCATAATTTCTGGAAAAGTTGAATAAATGGGAGACTGTGGCACCAGGCTCAACCTTCAGAGATGACTTAAAAAGAAAGGGGTGCCTTGGTGATTCTTGCCTTGCAGCCACAAGAAATTTCTGATGAACCCTAATAGCTTGAATGTCGTGGGCCAGAGGGACAATTACCTGCTGTATCAGTTCAGGCTTAGTCACAGCGTAGGACATTTCCAGGCATGTACAGAAGCAAATCTTAAAAGCCTTCAAATGGAAACACCTAAAACACGTGGCTGCATCTGTGATGAGATCATGTCCAAGTTAGTGTTTTTACTGCTGTGTTTTGATCTTGAGCATCTAATGTGGTACAAAAACTCTGTTCAAACACCTCAATATTTGTAACTGAGTTGGGTGCATTGGAAGTTTCCTCTCACAGCTGGTTACCTGTCGTATTACTGCTTTTAGAAAGTTTTCTGCACAGCCAAAGTGTCAGTGAGAGCAGAAGTACCACTGTTTTTTGCTAGCTGTTGAGAAGGCTGAGGATACACATGCTTCTGTTACACCCACAATTAGGCAACTTCAACAGTGCAACAAAAATTAACGGCTTATTTACTTGCATTTTTTCATTTATGAATACAGGCATAACACATTATAAGAATTAATAACTTTGTTATTTCATCTAAGCTAACAAAGCCACTTTCTTTCTATGTACTCAAGATTCATTCTTTCTTTCATTTATCTTGGGTTTTTTAAGTGCATCATTTCCTATTTTTAGCATCTAAACCTTACCTTCATCTGCAGATGGCTTCACACAAGCTCTGCTTTCATCTCATATATATGTTAAAGTCTAAGTTAAGCTAGTGTGAATCTCTGATTTCTAATGACAGTGTAAAGATTCTTAAAATACTGTCCATGTTTAATTTGAGTTCAAAAGCTACTTCTGCTAGTATCTCATTTATTCTAAGAAATAACTCTATTTTTTTTCCTTGCACAAGCTTACACTTAAAAGCATAAATTTCTTTTAATTCTTACTTTGAGAAAATATGTTTTCATAGCACGCTGTACAGCCTTGCTGTAATGCAAAAAGAGGCACTGTCCTGCAAAAGGGTTTCTAGCACACCAGAGTTCCACTAATTGCTATTTTCTGTAGTCTTTTAAAATTAAGTACAGAATATGCACAGTATTGTAGACAGATAAATATCCAACACTTTAAATTCTCACTAATTATCTGAGTCCTATTTTAGAAGCAGTGAGTAATTAATGCCTTGGATGATGCCTATAACAATCAATTGCCAAACCACCAAATAGCAGAGCCAGTCCAGAAGTTTTCCATATAATACTTATATGTTCCCACATAATCTGTCAACAAAGGAAACTGGAGAGAAAATCCAACAATAGGTAAATCCTGGTATTTTTCTCAGTCAGAATCAAACAAAAAATATTGGGTTAAATTTTTGAAACATCCTTTTTTTCTTTTTTCCAGCTCTCATAATTTACTTCCTTTTTTATAGAGGTAAGGTTAAAATTAAATGTCCTCCTCACATATGACTAAAATAGGCTCCAAAAATATAAGCCAAACTTTACTTCTACTCAAGCAAGTTTCTACAGACACAGCAGTGGATCTTCAACTATTGTTTTATTTGCTGAAGGAAAGATGTTGTTTAGTAACTGCGAAGAGAAGGTAAAAAAGCACTTGTTCTGAAAATCAAATATATGACTGTTGTTACTTTGTAACAGAGAGAAATCTACTGCATGGCCTTTGTAAAACTGAAATTTATGTTCTTTAAAGTATTCCTCTCATTATAAAAATTATTTCTGGATGTCTTAAAATCAAGAAGGAAAATATATATGCATTTTTTTTCCTAGCTTGCTTGGTGTCCTAGATAAGATAAAGGCAAACAGAACTATGACATTCCCTAAATATAATTGTTTCTTAATAATAATTGGTTTTCCATTCATTTAATGTGGCCATCTCATCCCTCCACTGCAGATCAAAATAAGAATTAGTAAGTAATCAGGCTATGGTTTAGAAAATCCAAATCAAAAGCACATTTGTTACAGAGAGGGTATGGGTTTCTTAACATCCTCTTCAAATCAGCTTTCTCAGGGTAGTATGGGCGACCTTGGTTCTTGCTAACAACGCATCAACCATGGATGCAGGATTCAGGAAACCTGGTATCAGGTGTGTTGTTAAGGAATCTTTCAAATACAAAAAAGGCCCAATGCTTACATCTGCAAACCCAGTCAAACCATCAACAGATAATTTTAATGTCTGAGTATGGATACTGCCTTGTGTTATAACCAAGCAGTTTCAAATATCTTAAAATATTTAGACTATTTAGAATTATCGTAAAGCTGAATCTAATATCCTGATCATCCAGACTGGTCTTCATATTTTCCAGCTCGAAAAATTAGGATACTTTTATGAACTGCAGAAGTGGATGATTAGTTACATTGTTCCAGCAGTTATGCAATAGTTTCATTTTAGCTTCTGGAATGCAAAATGCTGAGTTTTTTGGTATCTCTGAGTATGAGTCACTGGATTTTCTGCCAGGCTGTAGGGTACATGTCACTGTTTGAGAAGGGTTTCCATATGCCTTAAAACTACCCAGCAAACACAGCCCCAGGCACAGCTGGAGGAAATCCTCTGCACTGCATAGAAGGGGAGCCTGAATCAGCAGAGCTGATGGATGGGTCAGCATGCCTGGTCTAACATCCCTGACAGGCACACCCACAAAGACTGTGCACCAATTACCTGGAAAGTGGACTTAGGCACAAAACTGTAAGATTACAGCCACTCTTGCATCAGCTTGTCTGCCAAAAGTCTTCATGGCCTCAACTTGTGTCACAGAACTGAAAAATAGTTTGTGTTCCTATTTTTACCTTTGTGCTGTACTGTTTCCAAACATGGTTTTGGTTCCCTTTTTTCTTGGTATTTATTGTCAGTATTATTTTTTAATGCAGCATAAAGGAAGAGAAAACAATAGTTTTCCAGTTACATGGAAAGGATATCCATGATTACACGACAGCTGTTAGGTATTTTCAGTGATTCTTTCTTTGTTTATATCCACAAAGACTTTCTGCCAACAGACTGCATGGATGCCATTGGACAAATTTCTTGTTGGTATGCCACTAATGTAAAACTGTCAGGATCAAATTTACAGGATAAAAAGGAGCCAAAACCCAACAAAATATTTGCTTAGAGTCAAGGGTGCATAAACACATTTTAACTGCCATCAAAGATAAGGACAGCATGAAAATGGCTACAGCTGTCTTGGTTTACTAGGGCCAGAATGCACAGCTACCAAGGAATTAAAATCTTATTGATGATGCAAGAACTTTAGCAATTGTCTGCTTGATATTAAGTAACTAGACATAAGGTGATTATGTCAGCAAAATTCTCTTATTTGAAAGGGGAACATAGGAGCTATAAAATGGAACGGACAAGAAGAATCTTTCACAGACTTTGGGGAAGGAATGGCAATTAGGAAAATTATGTAGTCTCTTTCTCATAGGGATCTGCCTGTTGGAAACATACGCCTGGCCTATGAAAATAGCTCCTACCTTAAGCGTGTTCTCCTAATCATAAGATTGATGAGGGAGTTCAGCAGTTGGTCTATGGCACAAGAATGGCTCTTCTTAATGAAAAGAGAGGTTGTTTACGGCAAAAGTATCCAGTAATCTTGCTCTGGGTTCTTGTCAACTCAGGGGCACAAAAGATTCAAGGGCTCACTTTCAGTCCTTGGAAGTGGTGTTTGGGGCAATGTACCCTGGCACTTATAGCAATGGTGGAAGCCATGTAGTCAGAATAAGTCTCTGCCAAGTCACTTCCTATCAGTACCACAGTACAACGCATAAAAAACAGTGTTGCAGCAAAATCCACAGAGTCATCAGACTCTTTTCTGTCATAAAACCACAAAAGATGACTCGTGTGAATCTGTTCTTCACCAAAAAACCAAAACTTTTGCCTGGGTAGAATTTGAATTTTCTTTATGTTTGTCCAGGATTTCTATCTGACTAGCAGCCCGCTCAGAGCTACTGTACTGGACTGAGTTTGGTGTGCCATCTGACCAGAAATTACAGGGATTCCTCAAGAGCGTGTAGATCAGCCTCATAATGCACCTTCTGTAAGTCCAACACTTCTTGCACGTATTGCAGATATTGCACTACATAAATCAGCTGTTCCTTTAAGTGTGAGATTTATTGCCCATATATTGTATAGTCAATTAATACAAAAGTACACAGCTTTGATGAAAAATTCTTGGCAGAAACTTAACAGACGTGTTACTAATACTGTTCAGCTTTATTCTGTTGAAGTATTTTATTTAACCAGCTTAATTCCCCAACAAATGTATTTTGAAGATATAACTACAAAATTTGTTAGCTCTAATTTGGAGGTTCTCACTTTGTGTCCTCTAGCAGCAGAAATGACAAGTCTTTTCTGGTATCGAAAAGCTCCAGTTTAATGAGTATTTGGTAGCCAGGTTTCAGTCTCCCAAGACCTGTTACACATAACACACACAGTCTCAGAGAGTTGACATGAGATGCCAACATTTTTGCAGACTCTATTGGGCTGAGGGGCTTGAGGGTAGGGAATTAAACACCACTTGCTGCATTTTAGAAAAATTTTATTCTGAGGAATTTTATTCAGGAGGACACGGGGCTCTGTGAGATAGAGAAACTTAACATTTCTTTGACTGGCATGTTACACCTTACTGGGATTTGGCTGATGGTTTTGCTTCTGCAAAACAATGAAATACATCTAACTGTTCTGTATAATAAGACTAAACAAAGTCCCTTTCTGTAAGAAAAGGTGTCAGCTTGGCCTACCTATAGCAAAGCTGAGTAGCTGTGGCTCCAAAAGCAGTTCATAACCTGCTTTCAACGCTGCTGGATGTCAAGCATATTCATACTTTAGGTATGAGGACATTTGCTGCTGCAAAAGAAGATAAAACTAAACCTGCAATTCGAAGGTAGCAGGAGCTCACTGGAGTAAAAATCTTTGTCTTTGGCAATAGTCAAATGAAAAGAGACCGCCCCCTAAGCAACAGTATAGCCTGCTAGAGCGGGAAATCATGATTATAAGAAAGAATTATAATGTGGTTTTGATATGAATGTACTTATTTATTTTTAACCATTATATCAAGCCTTTTTATGTCTCATCTCCTTCAGGTGCATAAACAGAGAACTGGGGACTAGCTCAGAAGTTACGGAATTAAATGAGTGAACACAGTGGCTGTACAAAGTTTAAGGGTTTTCCCCTTCTCTCTTCACATCACAAACACAAGTTGTAAAATGGTTAAATATCAAAATTCAGATCAGCAATAAAAAAACCCAGGTAAGAGGACCTACAGCTCCATAATGTAAAAGGGTTTCATATGTAGAGGTGGGTGGTGAAGAGACCAGCCTAGACTACATACATACAAAGTAAAATCTATCAAATAGAAAATCATAACAGTTGCCAATTCCAATTGTACCTGAAGTTACCTACCTAAAGAATAAATTAACTAATAAACATTATGGTTAGATAACCCCCAATTCCAGTTGCATAACTCAGTTTATAGAACAGGAGGAACCTTTTTTAGACCAACTTGCGGATAGAAAAAAGAGGAAGACCCCTCAAGAACTGGTGTATTTTGCAGAACAGCACAAAATGCTGCATGTGTAGCTTCTGCTGAAATATTTATATAAATTTAACAGAAGTTTTACACTTCTGTATTTCTCCCTTACTTGAAAGTCAATAAAAATATATCATACAGGAAAAAGTACTGGAAAAAACCCTATCAAACCCATCTTTGTTTTGCTTCAGTCTTCACAAGAAATGGCAATTGTGAAGAGATTGCTAACATTATTAAAACTAATAGTTCAGTATTGTGGAGGAGGGAGACACAGGACAGAGCATGACAAGAAGAGGTAAAAAACAACTGAGATAAGTTAGATGTAGTCAAGTCAGTATACCACGATGAAATTTATCTAAACCACTTAAAATTTAGCAGAAGCAATCTCTGCACCATTAATAATTGTGAGCTCAGAGTGGAGAGGCAGAGTTTCAGAATACTGCAGAAGGAAGAATACACATCTCTCTTTAGGGATGCAGAGAGGCCTCTAAGGAATAATTTCAGACTATTTGGTATGTATATATACACTAAATTGAGCTCTGCAGGCTCATTAACACCTGAGATGACTGCTGATGGTGAGAGTCTGCAGAATGAAAACCAAAGATGGAACTGATAGAACAAATTTAATTTTAAGTTTTCTTTAAGTCTTTTTCATTTGCATGTCACATTTAGTAAGCACATATTTAGAAGAACTTATCCATACTGTAGCTGGAAGATTTCTTCCAATTCAACGGCTAATGGCCTTTTTTGTAATTTGTTTCAGGGAAATTCTTATTTGCTCTTCTCCTTTCCTTTGACAAATGAAACTAAAAGAAACCCCTAATGCAAAAAAGAGGACATACTGTGGTGCTCTTCCCAAGAGGGGCTTGTGGGTTGCTCTGAAAGTGATGTGATTGTAGTAACCGAGAGCACTTCTCACAGGGACAGGGATCTCCACTAGCAAAGGCTGATGGTGAGACAAACAACCCACACCTGCAGCAGTGTGACTAACTGCTGGCAAAACTGAGACAGTTATTTCAAAGTAATAACATCCTATGGTTCCATTTTGCCTGGTAAGGTTTGATTAACAGATTGTCAAACTGTAAAACTCAGACATAAAATGCTACTTTTACAGCATCTGATACAGGAGAGCCTTTGACTCTAGAATGTTACTCTGCCTTGCATCCTCTAAATAATCAGTGAACCAAATGTAGTAAATGGTTATTACACTGAGATACAACTCATCAGACCCCTCACATCCTATCCTTAGAAAACTAAATTGTCTATGGATAGAATTAACACTATCAAAAAAAAAAATTGAAGTTTGTTTTGAGACTCAAAACACATATGGTGACCACAGGGCTAAAGCTTTGGGAGCAAGTTTT